ATTTAATTCCCCAATTTAAATATTTGTTTATTTACAGAATGAGAGATTTATTAATAGTTTTAAACTTTGTTACTCTGGGGAATTATTCAGGTTTATTTTACATGAAGTTCACTTTCAAAACCCCTTCAAATTAAATGATTCAAAATTTAGAATTGGGGCAAGGCCCAGTGGCTCAAGGCAGGAGGATTGCTTGAGGCCCAGAGTTCAAGACCAGCCTGGGCAAGAGCAAGACCCTGTCTCTAAGAAAAAATTAGCTGGGCATGGTGGCATGTGCCTGTAGTCCCAGCTACTCAGAGGCTGATGCAGAAGGATTGCTTGAGCCTAGGAGGTGGAAGTTGTAGTGAGCTATGATGATGCTACTGCACTCAAGCCCTGGGTGACAGAGCGACACTCTTGTCTCAGAAAAAATTATAATTTGCTTTGTGGGAGGGGAGTACTTTCCCCAAGCCAAGAAGAAGAAAATGTTATGAGAAGTCTTAAATAAATTCTACTACTGATAAAATTGTCAGCCAGTTGTTGTGGCTCATGCCTCTAATCCTAGCATTTTGGGAGGCCAGGGTGGGAAGATCACTTGAGGTCAGGAGTTTGAGACCAGCCTCGGCAACATAGCAAGACCCTGTTTCTAAAACAAATTTTTAAATTAGCCGGGTCTGGTGGCACTGGCCTGTAGCTCTAGCTACTTAGGAGGATGAAGCAAGAGGATGGCTTGAGCCCAGGAGTTTGAGGTTGCAGTGAAACTATGATCACACCACTATATTCTAGCCTAGGTGACAGAGTGAGATGAGACCTTGTCTCAAAAAAAAAAATTGTCTAAGATATTTTTGAATGTCTTTTTTTAATATGAGAAAGAGTTTAAGAAGTTTTTGATTCTACCAGGTAGTCCAATTTCTTGGCTTTAACAGGAACTGATGGCCTCTGATGGTAGTTCATGTTTATTTGTGTTTATTCCCCTTTGAGTTTCTGCCAAAAAAAATAATGAAGCATTTCTGATTTGACCTTGTGATTTTTGCAAATGAGCATAAACAATGTATAGTACTTGTAATTACCAAGTCATACTTTATTATCAGTCATGGAAAGTTGCTTTCTTGTTAATTTTGTTGTTACATAAATTCAGCAACAGTTTTGATCACTTTATTGCTCTAATATTGCTCATTTAAGGGAAATAAATGTTTCTCATTTTATAGGACAGAGATTACACAATTTAGTGGACTTCATTTTTGGTGGATGTCATGATAATCTCAGTTCCTAGATCTTTCTGATTTTCTAATTCCAGTGAATTGTTCTCAGAATCATTTATACATTCATGGTATTGGTCTCTCTTTTTTTTAAGAAAAACAAAATCACTGCAAGGTACTTTTCTAGAAGTCTAATGCTAAATTCCCATTCCAATATATAATTTGGATTTTCTAATATATGCCATGATTAAGAGTTAATTGAAGTATGTTAGAATTTTGAATGCCTAATATTTGTGTGTTTGCACATACCCTGTATTTTTACTCTAAATTTTTAAATAGCTTTCATAGTTTTCTTGATGTTTTATAAGAAACTGAGATGACCCCCCGTTCAGATATATTCAATATAATTTTAAATTGTTCTTTTACTATCCTTATTATCCATAAAATCAAATACTTTAATTTTATGGAAAGAACTATTAATAATTTCTATTCATTAATAGTTTTCAGTATTTATTTAGCCAATTGCTATCATGCATATTATCTAATATTTTTATTTTATTAAAATTCTTTCTACATTTTCTTTCTTTTAACATTATTATGATTTTTCAACTTCGAAAGATTAGCACAATTTAGGTACTCAATGTTTTTTAAGTTGTTAAATTAGTGAATAAATACCTTGTTTCTAACATACCTACTATCTAAATGGTATTTTTTTTTATTTCAGCATATTATGGGGGTACAAATTATAAGGTTTCAAATAGTGCCCTTTCCCTCTCTCCACCCACAAGTTTGAGCTTCAAGCGTGCATATTTTAAAACAATCTTTTAAAAGTTTAAGAAAAATTATATATAATACTACAATTTAATTTCAGAACCTGTTAAAATATAAAGAATGGCCACATATAAGATATTGTTTTATTATTGTTTAAATTACAGTATATAATTGTATTTGTAACTGTTGCTACATGAATAATACTCCTAGATCAGTTAATCTAGGAGTCTTTTCCATAATCCATCTTGGCACATTTATATTATGTCTACCTGTAACTTTATTAGAAAAATATATAAACAGAGAGAGAGAGAGAGAATTAGAATAAATATAGCAAAAGCTAAAAGTTTATCTCCTGCATAACATTTATTCAATTATATTAATCATGATAATATAGTTCAATGATAAAAGAAATAGAAAGCTAAGGTTGGAACAGGACTTACATGAAAAATATGGAGGAATAAATATCACATTCATGAATTAGAGTCATGTTCAGTATCACCAAGGCAAAATATATTTGTTTAAAGCAATGGTCAATAATCTCTTCTATCTGAAGGCTAATTTCAACATTAATTGAACATAAAAATCAGTAAGTATATTATTTTCAATGATTTAATTTTGAAAATTACATACTTTTTGCTCAGGAAATGCTTTATCTTCAGTATAATTAAGCATTCTTTTATTGCATATCTATTCCTGAATGGATTCTTCTTTTGGCTGAAATTTCAGAAACTAATATCTAAAATAACTATATAAAGTATGATAATAATGTTGTTTGTATTTGAATGAGTTTTGTTCTTGAACAAAACACTTTCTGAATCTAGTTTATTTGGTCTTACCTCAATAGTTTTTCTAAGCTACTGACTAGTAAAATACTGTGTCACTTTCTTTTAATATTTTATATTTTATAACAAAAGGTTTTATTTCAATTGTATATGTGAACCCTTTCTACAAAAAACTAAGCCTTAGACCACTTTGAAATAATGTAAGCTTGTCATTCACTTGCTATTATAATTTCTGAGGGGCAGCAACAATGCTAAGGACTTAAATTGTATATGAAGAATATTTATCCCAGACATATTACATGTATCACTTCCTTATTATTTTTCTTATTTCTGGGCTGTCAGTGAAAACTTATAACCAACCAGGAAATCCAACCTCAGACTCCTGGTCTAAAGGGTTCCTCCTGCCTCAGCTTCCAGGTAGCTGGGACTACAGGTGCACACTACCATGCCCAGCTAGTTTTTTCTATTTTTAAGCAGAGACATGGTCTCACTCTTGCTTGGGCTGGTCTTTAACTCCTGGGCTCAAGTGATCCTCTCTCCTTGGCCTCCCAGAGTGCTAGGATTAGATGTGAGCCACTGTACCTGGCCCTAATTAATTTTTTTAAACCATAATTTATAATTTGAGTTTAAAATAGGGCCAGGCATGGTGGCTCACACCTGTAATCCCAACATTCTGGGAGGCCAAGGTGGGAGGACCACTTGAGACCAGGAGTTTGAGATCACTGTGGGAAACATAGCTATATCCTGTCTCTAAAAAAAACTAAAAATAAAAAAATTAGCCAGGCATGGTGGTGCTTCCTGTTAGTCTGTAGTCCTCGCTACTTGGGAGGCTGAGGCAGAAGGATTGCTTGAGCCCAGGAGTTGTAGCCTATGAGATAGAGCAAGACCCCGTCTCTAAAATAAAATAAAATAAAATAAAATAAAATAAAATAAAATAAAAGAGATTCAGGAATTGTTTCCTGCTTTAAAAGAGGAGTTTAGCCATGACATAAATCATGGTAATGATATAGCTTATTTGATACATTTTTTGAAGTAAAATTTCTTTAAAATTTCCATAGAAATTGTTTTTACTTTGATATATTTTTGAATCTATAAATCACAAATAAAATAGAGAACTTTGTGTCAGGACAGAGATAGTAAATGTGGTTTAAACGTTAAGAATTGATATTATTTCCAATGGAAAGCATTCTATTCTGCTTTACATTTCAATGTTGATAAATTTTCGTTTTTGTTGTGGTTATAGCAAGAACATGTTCTTATATGGCCTTTGACTTGGGTACCAAATTATAGATCCTTTTTGATATGTTTCCAAGTGTAATATTTGTTTAAAATGTTACAAACCAGGGGTAAGAGGATAGAGAGAGTGAATGGTAGAGCCATAGATGTGGCACAGTTTATGCATCTCCTTCCTTTCATTTTTCTTGCCACATTACTGATGATGTTTGTTTGGTTTTAAATTTGATTTTAAAAAGGATCTAAGTATTTGGAAAGGTGTGGAACTGTATGCTATTGAAGATTTCAGTGTTTGCTTATGAGAGAAGGAAATATCATTTGTTGGGAATGTGATCGTAGAAATTTGGCTTTGAAGTTTTCCCATGTAATTATACTAGCAATTCCAAACAACATAGTAAGAATTTATAGTACTTTTCCAGATGGTGATTGTTCAACAATAATTGGAAGCTGTAGCAATTAAAACAGTATTTTTTATAGAGTAGGCATTATTTAGTCGCTTTGCCAGCATTTTACTTGATATCTAAGTGCTGTTCTCATCATTAAGCAAAAAAAAAAAAAAAAAAAAAACTTTAACATTTCCTAGGCAAAAAAAGAGAAATGCTCTTTCAGAATGTATTTGTATTTTTAAAATTGAAAACTTTCTGAGCTATATAGTTCAAAGTGAGTAATTCTTCCTAACAAATCTTTTAAGTTTTGAGGTACAAAGCTAGCAAATTCAGTCAAGCTGTTGCTGATTTTGAGGTCCAGTGTCTTCATAAGTTTATTAAATTTGAGAAAGAATGATGGAGGTGAAAATAAACAGGGAACAACACACTTAGCCTCTCCAATAGAGCAGGTTATAAGGGGGCAGCTTGATTTACTTTCAAGTGTAGCTCATATTCATCTTAATTTATTTTATTTTATTTATTAGGTAAAAATAATGTTTACTGCTTCAAAATTATGTATAGCCATCTTATTTGGGCTATTCAGTTTGGAATTGTAAACATGATGGCAGGTTTCTTAAATATCTGTGTGTTGTTGTTGTTTATTTTTTTTAAAGAGATTTCCCAAAGTTGCAGATGGCTGGCTCATCTCCAAATACCTCTTCAAGGGTACTCTATGCTGGTGATGTCTCCCGCCACTGAGCTGCACGGGAGCATGGAATTGACTTACTGGGGAGGGCAGTATCAGTTAAGTGATCTCTTTTAGTACATTGCATGGGTTTTGCAAAGCTTTAAGTTTTTTTGATTATGTTTTTTTAAATCCAAAGGGCATAGGCATGTTTATGCTGATTTTTAAAATTAAAATTTTGTAAACCCACACAATTTTGTCTTCTTCCTCTCCTATGTGACTCATGAATATTTATTTCTAAGTTCCATAGCCTTAATTACTATTTTATGAATCATGAATCAATGTTATTTACATTCTTCTTATAACTCTTAATGATATAAGATTTATTTGCTATTAAATCAATTTTATAAGTACTATATAATATTTTTATTACATCAAACTAGGAGCTCAAGGAAGCTGTGTGAATAATATTCTAGTCATTCAGTAAAATGTAGATGAGTGCTACCAACAATAACTGCTTTGTCATTCTTTAACCGTTAGTGGGAATATATTCTTTTTTTAAGAAATAGGAATATATTCCAGTTTACTTTCTCCCAGTTAGAATTCATCGTTTTATTTACTTATTGAAATCTTTTTTTTAATTGAATTCCTGTTATATGCAAAACTCTGTTGGGCCTCTGTACTTATGACCTAGCCATTTAAAATATTTTTTAGTTAAAAAAGAAACACATCATAATTATTTTAAAAGATTACAATAGGACAAAGGATAAAAAGTAGAAAATAAATGTCTTCTCATTTCCTTAATCCTAATTCTCACAAGTAATCATTTTGAACAGTTTCTTTTGTTTTATGTTCTGTATCTATAGCCCTAATCACTACTGAAACAAATTACACTTGATTTCTTCAGGGCTACACATTTATGTGTAGCTCTCTCTGTGGACTTCAGCCTTCAGTATACTAATTTTGTCCACTAATGTTTTAAGCCTTATTTGAATAATGCTGGTGGAAGAAAAAAAAAATCTTTGTACTCCATTTGGAGAGATAGCAAAATTATTGGGATTTAAAAAGCCTATTAAGTCAATTTGATTTTCAGTTTTTTGGTCAACCTGGTTATCTTAATCTTTTTGTTTTGGAAAATTAAGAATTGGTAATTTTTATGGTATGGATACATATTTTAAATATTTGTGTATGTTTGTGAATAATTCCTTACCAGTGAACTAGACATTAAATTTTCAGTAACAAAGGATAATAATTACATTTTATAGATGAGTAACTGTGATTCATAATGGCTAAATGATTTATCTGAGGCATCCTGTTAGTAACATATAGAACTAGCAATGTTCTACAATTGAGTATCTAATCTAGATCCTGACTTCTTCAGATTTAGCTTAAAGTGTAACTGAAATTATTTTTAAGTGTTTAAATTTGTTCTATTTTTTTAGAACATTAATGTGAGATTTTTAGTTAGAAAATTGTAGTTAGAAAGTGAATCAGTGTCATAATTTTACCGTCAAAGCTGAATGGCCTAATATAAACCTCAACTAGTAATACAAGGTGTACCAAAAGTCACCATACATAAGGAAAATGGGAAATTGTAGCTAAATGTACCCTCCCTTTTTTTTTTTTTAACAAAATATCCATTATAAAAGTTTACAAAAGTTTTCCTTTGTATGGAGACTTTGGGGACACTGTAATTTTTTTAAAAAAAGGGTTTTTGCCTTCTTGCAAAGACATGAGAATTTTCTGTTTAGTAAAAACAATAGTGGAAAATATTAAACTGTTTTTTATAAATTAGCAGTAAGAAACTTAGGATTGGTACTACCAAATTTAAAGTGAAAAGTTATAAGTTAAATATCTAAATATTAATATAGTAGCAAAATAAATCCACAGCTAACCAATCTCCTCTAAGTATCTCAAAACTTTTACAGTGATATCAGAGTGGTTTATTAAAATGTGGTGGGACTATTTTGTCTTTTGTTGCTTGTCTAGATGAATAACAGCTCTAAAGTGTAATAGTATTTAATATTGTCAGGTAGGTGATGTATTTTAACATTAATTGAACTTTAGTTTGTGAGACCAGTTTCATATACTATTTACATAGCTAGGTACTGTTACAAAGTATAGGAAAGGGAAGTCAATTAATAGATTAATTTATATTTTATATTATATTATTAAAAGATGATGTATCTAGTAAGCCACTGCTTAGTAAAGAGCCACTTTAGAAAATTTAGTTTCTATTCTTAGAAGGTGTCATTCTGGCCATAAAATAAGATATAAACAAAACATGGGCATATTGTAAGATGTGAATAGACATCTCATTTAAAGAATATAGAAGAGTACTTTGGAATAACATTGGACCCTAGAGATCACAAGCCATTTTTAGGTGCTGAAAATGAAGGATTTTACAGAGAAAAGTATCATGGAGCTGGTCCATAGCAGATCGTCTTTTAGTCTGGCAAACTTTTCACTACTTACTTCTGTGGCTAAAATGAATTACAGTTACATTGATGGGATGGAAATAAGTTTTGAAAAGTTTGTTTAACTTTCTCATTGGTGAAAATTCAACTTCAAAGAACACTTATAATTAAAAGCATATTATATTACAAACATCTTGGTTACATGAAAAAAAAAAGCATATTATATACTTACACTCATGGAGAGCTTTAAAAAGAGAATTCTGTTATTGATGGCATATGTCTTCTTTGGAATAAAATTTCTCCAAGATTTAGACTAGCCAGTGTCTTCCTATATGATTTGCTTTTGTGGTTATTTTTAAATGAAAGGAAAATATCCTGGGAGTGGTTATTTATTATTTCAATATTTATTTTTAAAGGTATAATCAGCTTGTAACTTTGTTTTTTAATCTTCCTGTTGAGTACTGGTTACAGACTTTTACAAGCAGTTAATCTGTGTTTACATAAAAGTAATGTTCAAATAATAATCTCAAACAACCAATTAAATGCTTCAATTAATATATATTTAATTAAATTAAACCTATCTAGTAGATGCAGAAATTAAGTATTTAGATAAAATTCTGGGATATACATACAATTTACAATACTGCTTTTGTTTGTAGGTGCTAGCAAGGAAATCTACCTTCTTTTAAAGTAGGCCCTTCTGTATGTGGAAAGTTTAGTGTCTTAAATTAAGAACTTCATTTTGGAAATAATTCACATGGAGGAGAAAGGAAGGAAGAATCAAGCCAAGTCATCCTCACATCTAGTTTGTTGAATAGATAAAAGTGTTATGAAGAGACTACTGGTTTATTTAAGGCCCTGCGAGTTATGATGATAAGCCATCCTATTTTTGTTTAGTTTCTCAGTTTGTAATCTGGAAAATCTTGTCATTATCTTTTGAGTAAAAGTTTCTGTAGATAGTGTACCTCACCCATAGCAGGAGTCCCAAGGATTTAGTGCCCTTGCCTTCTCTGTTTAAATAATGCCTAGATTTTTAGTTTTTCTATATCTTTGTTTTCTCTCCTCCCAAACAGGGCTTTGTTATATTCTTTGGTTTTTAACAGCTCTACTTCAAAACTACTTGCAGATTACTTTACTCAGAAATGTGAAACTTACGAGGTTTATAATAGCACTGTAGAAAAACAAATCATCCCCTAGGCAAAAGTGCTGAACCAGTGTGTATTTTCTTACCAGGGACATTCTTCTTGGTCATGGGCAACCTATGTTTTACTTTTCTCCTTGGTTACCTATCTGGGTTTTCGATGTAGGTGTTGCCTTGGCTAGTACAATGTTGCCTGTTTCGTTGGGTATTTCTCTGACTTGTGTTTCCCATACTGCCATTTTAGAGAAATTTAAAGCCACCAGAGAATCCCTGTTACACTGTCTTTCTTTAATATCCCTTCCAGTGTACAACATTCCATTTCTTGAGGGAAGTCAGACAGCTGTACCTCTCATTTTGAAATTATAGAATGATGCCAAATAATAGAAGACAAGGAAAATTAGTTGAGGTTAGAAACAATTTGAAGAGGTAAGTTTAGAATGGTTGATAGGGGAAAAGGTTAGGTTAGGGAGTAAATTCTAAAGATTTCTCTAGATTCTAAGCAAGTAATGGGAAGAATTTAACTGTGTATCTCATTCACACTTCGTTTTATAGTGTTCAGGGAACTTGGTTCCCTTAACCATTTTTGTGATAACAGTAGGAACAATTAACATTTATTTCGTATTTAATATGTACTAGGCTCTTAGAAAAGAGCACATATATGACCTCATCTAATTCTCACAGCAGTGCTATGAGGTAGTTACTACTATTATTCTCAACAGAGGAGGCTCAGACTTATAAAGTGAATTTAAGTCATTTGTTCAAGAGCACATAGCTAGAAAGTGATCTGATTTAGGTCCACCTGACTCAAGAACCCATATTCTTAACCACCAGTTACCCTGCCTCCCCTCCAAATGGCTAACAAATTGATGACATGAAAAGTTCCCTAGAGACAAACTATATTTGAGGTATCATACCAGGAACTTTTTAATTCAGAGAAGCATGAAGACAAAGGAAAGTGATGGAAAGAGTTGAAGAGGAACAGTATTTACAAAGATTGTAAATATTCCTGTAGATTTCTATTTGTAGGTAATAAGATTTTATTTTTAAAGAGACATTACATTATATAGTTATTTAGATAAGGATTTATAGATGTTTTTATGTTTTATTTATATATAGACAAAGGTTAATATATTTGTTCAAAATGTTTGATATTTGTAATCTAGCATGCAAGCACCTTAATACCAGACTGTGATAAAAAGTCTGTTTTAAAAGGACACTTTGTTTTAAAAAGACACTAATTGGATTTTCAAAAATTCAAGTGTTTATATTCATTGCAATTAAGATGATCTGTTGTGTGCTGATTTACAAATTCTTTTTTTTCAACAAATATTTATTGAGTGCATACTATGAGCCAGAAACTGAGTCACATGTTAGAGGCTGATCTAAAGACAAATGAGACACAATCCCTGACTTAGTGATATTATCACCTAAAATGTGAGATGATCAAGTGAAGAAATAATTATAAGGATAAGTAAGCACAGGGTACTGTACCAACAGTGGGGCTAACCATAGAGATCATGCATGGTTTGCTAGAAGAGAGGCCTTTAAAAGTAAATGATGAATAGGAGTTACCTATCATGATTTGTAGGATTTCTATTGATTAACCATAAGTACATCATTAGAAATACCAGGGAGACATTAAAAAAAAATGCTAAGCCTACATCTTACCATAAAGATTTTGATTTTTCAGTTTGAAGAGAGACCAGACGTAATTATTTTTAAAAAGCAGTCCAGTTGTTCTAATGTATTGCCATGGTTGAAAATCACTCAAATATCACCTTTGACATTCCTCCTAAAATGGTACTTGCTGACAAGAACATTTTCTTATGTTGCTGGAGAGAAAGTATTACTGGGGAAGGGAAGATTTGAAATAAATAATTCATTCAAAATGAAAAAGCACTTAAATATACAAGGAGATCTTTCTACAGTAAGATTAAACAACTCCCCTAGGTAAGACTAATCATTCTAGACAACTGCATAAAGTACTAAGATGTCTCTCATATCCCATTTAAAAATACTAAGTGTTTAAAATGGTTTTCATGGACCTAATACTCAGAGTCTTGCATAGAAATGTTAATATTAATATAAGGTATACACAGTAGAACATTTGGTCACAAACAGACACATAGTTACCCAAATATGAAAAATTAGAATGGTAAATACTTCAAGAGTTTTCATGAATTGGTGACTAGGAGAGAGCAAATGAATTACAGAGGGGAGCTTTATGGATGAGAATGGTTGGGTAGAAGATTATGAATTATCAGTGAATATGGGATCGTGATTGATTTTATTTACTTGTAGGATAAATCACACTTTGTTTCCTTTTTTGCAGTATCCCTATAAAGAGGAGAAAAAGTTGTGGGTTTTTTTTCTGTTTTTCTAAGTAGAGAAAGGTTTAGAATTCAACTGCTGACATTTAAATGAATGTTTAACTAGGACCACAGGAAAGTTTTCCATGCGCTATCTAAAAGACTATGTTAGATAATATGATATTAAATGGCAATATAGTTTTAGTGTCTATTCCCTTTTTATTTCATTTAGTTTGATTTTGTTGTTGAGAAAACTATGATCCAGATCTATTAAGTCTTCCAAAGTAACACAACTATTAATAGTTAAAGGTAGAAAAGAACTAGATTTAAGGCTTTTTGACCCATACATCAGTACTCTTTCCATTTTTTATAGCATAGTATATTACCTTTATTTTATGGAATTTTATTGTTCTTGCATTTTGAATTGTCAAATCTAGTTTTTTTTTACTTTTAAAAAAAATTTGTATTATAATTTGTCTCTGAAGGTCAAGTAACCTGGTTTGGTTACGAAAGTCCTCGTACCTTTTGGGACTATATCAGAGTGGCTTGCCGGAAAGTTTCACAGAATTGTATTTGCAGCATTGAAAATATGGAAAATATCAGTTCTTCTAGAGCTAAGGTAAGACACTGATAATATGCAATGCGTATAATCTAATCCTAAGCAGTTTTGACCTAAATAGAAAATGTTTGAGCTCTTTGCTATGTAAAAACGTTTGTTTTCTTTTCTTTGTTGGGATTAAATACCTGACCAAATTTAATATTTCTCAGAGGCTTGTTTCCAGTTTTTCATTGCATATAGTTATTTTAGAATGTTCTTGAGTCTTAACTATGGCATTTTGAATAGCAGGAAGATATGAATTTCCTTTTAAGAAGCACAATAAAATGTTTCCTGTTCTGTGATGTTTCTACATTTCTTGAATTATCTAAGCCGGTGGTTCTCAAAACAATGTCCTGAAGAACACTGGCATCTCAGACTCTTTCATTAAGGGGTCCATAATGTCAAAAGTATTTTCATATAACACCAACATGTTATTAGTATTTCCCTTTTCACTGTGTTGACATTTTTATTCCTGACACAGAAGCACTGGTGGATAAAATTTCTGGAATCTTAGCATGAATTAAGGCAGTGGTATCAAACTATACTAGTAGTTATTCATTGAGTTCTTTCTCACCATGCACTCAGTATTAAAAACAAACAAACAAACAAACAAAAAAACAGGTCCCTTTGCTGGATTTTTCACATGGCTCATTTCACCAGGTCTCAACCTAAAGGGGTTACTTCCTAAGATGAGATTTGACTGATCTGTATCCCAAATCCCCACTAGGACCCTTCTATTCTCTCCCATGCAAAGACAAATAAGGGACCTACCAGCCAGGGAGAGGCTCAGAGGACTAAATGTATAAAGGGCCCTAATATTATGCTGGAAATGAGGGCTACATGGTGGTGAAAAATGTGTATTCATCAAAATTCTGTTCAAGGGAAGAGCTCTCTGTTTTATTTTCTACTGTATAACCTGCTTCAGGCCATAAATTAATCACTCTTCAAAAATTTGCTGAATCAATGAATGTAGAGTAATAAAACTGAACTCGATACCAGCCTTGCCACTCTCAGTTTGGATCCTGTGCAACACTGAAACCCAGATACTTATTTGTAAACTGGAATTAAAATAATAGCCTTCTAGCCTGTTTTATAGTGTTTTTCAATTTAAATGTGAAAAGGTCTTAACTCTGTAAAACACTTTTTAATATTTGTCAACATCATTAACCTGTTCAGTTAATTCCTACTGAGGCCTCATTCATTTCCTTATGGAGAGAGGACTGAAACTGAGATTGGGGAGGCTAATTCTGTGTCAATGATACCAGTTACCTTTTGAATTGTCCTATTACCAACTTAAGTTTATACACAGTAATTTGCAAAGTAACTTTAGGGAGCAGTCAGAATTTACCTATCTCAAATTGCTGATTTTTTATAAACACTGCTTCAATGTTTTGCCTCATTTTTTTTTTCACGCTACTCATGGTTACAAAGAACTAATCTATTACCACTTCTCTAGGCCAAGCAGAAGAACATTAACTCTCCATGTTGCCAACAAGAAATCAGTAAAAGTTCATTTTGTAAAACAAAACAAAATGCCAGTTTCACTTTAGAATGTCCAGGATGGTGCAGTAAACATTAAAATCTCAACATTTGAGTCCCTGTCTTTTTAATATCCTAGGGGACAAAATGGGAAGTATACTAAAGCATTTCTGCAGCATATTAAAATATGATGATTGTCTCAAGGAAAGCACTTGTGTCATTGTTTGAATTGTGAGCTGAACTACTTTTTTCATATCATACTATTTTTAATGGAAAGAAAAACTTATGAACCATAAATTTTTAGACTTAGGCATTTGGCAGATATTTTCTTGAAAAAAAAATGAAAGAAGTGAGCCTGTTACTTCAAGGAAACAGCTGACAGTATTCGTTGCCAATAGTAAAATTAAAGCTTTTAAGTAAAAAATAGAATTTTGGAAAACCTGTATTCACCACTGTAAGCTTGATAGCTTCCCAATATAGAAAGCCTTTTCTGATGACATTGATGTTGATATTAACAGATGTATTTTTTAATTGTTTAATGAAATGTGTCAGTATTTGGTAAATCTACATTACTTGTATTTTCCAAATGACCAATTCATGTAATTGCAAAATCACGTATGGATAAAAAATCAATTCAAAGTGCAAGATAGATCAATGGATTTAATGTAATGCAGTATGAAAAGGTCATCGATGTGATTGTAGATTCCATGTTCAACTAACTTTTAAGACATCACTTATTGTTTTGATTTGGAACATAGGAAAATTCACAATTATCTGAAAAGGCTATTAGAAGATTCCCTTTTCTAACTATGTATCTGTGTGAGGCTAGATTTTCTTTACATACTTCATCCAAAACAACACATTGTAACAGATGTAATCTAGATCCAGATATCTAATTCTCTTATGTTAAGCCAGACATTAAAGAAATTCGAAAAAAAAAAGTAAAACAGAGACACTTTTCTCAGTAATATTTTTGTCTTTGAAAATATTGTTATTTTTATAAAAATATTTATGTTAATGTATTGTGGGTTATTGTTATTTTTGAATTACCTAATATTTTCAGAGTTTCCAGTTTCGACTTATAGTAATTTGATAGCTATAACTTACATAAAATACTCTTTGAGGTTCTCATTAATTTTCAAGATTTTAAAAAGTCTGAGCTGCTGATTCAAGCTATACAGGTTGAGCATTCCAAATCCAAAAATCTGAAATTTGAAATGCTCCAAAATCCAAAACTTTTTGAGCACTCACATGACACTCAAAGGAAATGCTCATTAGAGCATTTAATTTGAATATCCCAAAATCTAAAAAAATCCAAAATCCAAAAAACTTGGGTCTCAAGCATTTTGGAAAAGTTATACTCAACCTGAATCAGCTTTCATTTAGGAGTTTTATATATCTATTTCTATTGACTTGCCAGAGTAGCTCTCCTTACTATTTTTGGCACTTAGGAATTATAGAATGAAACATTAAATAGAAAACAAAGATTGAAAACAGATATTTACAGTTTTACAATGAAGTCATAATTCATTATTTCATAACAATAAGATTGTAAGTTATATATCTACATAATAACCAAAAGTATAACATTATTTTTCCAAAGTATAGTTTTCAAGTTTTTTGTCCCTGCATCCTTTTTTATTTAGGAATTTTTTTCTTTTGGAAAATTTTTGTTTAGCAAAACTGACAAAGATATCTTCAAATTAAACATTTTGTAAACATGAGCTGAGTACATGTTTTAAAAATCAAGATCTTTATTGTTTAAATTTCGTGATCTACTTAGAAGCATAGTTAAAACATTTTTTAATCCTTAATATGGAAGTATATTTTTACATAAAGTTGATAGTTGTGATTTTTGTTACCTTTTCAAGACGACAGCTATGGAGTTCACTTTGTAAAACCACTGCTCCCTCCTTTACTGCCTCCTGCCATTCTCCAACCAAATGATTATCTGAGCAACAAACTTCCTGGTTCGGTATCTTTCAACCCTTTCAGGCTGAATCAGTTTTCTTCTCTGCCTCACATATTTTTTTTTCTTATAAAAAGTTTTTTTACTTGTACTTTAATGGCAGCACAACTGCCTCACATATTTTTTAAGCCAGTAAGTTTCTTCATTTTTAAGTCAATTATAGTTATTCATTTTTAATTAAATTTTTCCTTCATAGATGTTTAAATCCTATTTTTCATTGTATGTTAACAGATTTATTTTTAGTCTCAACTATTGTCTTAGTAGTCTTTTGATCTCTATTTTTTCAGACTAATAAATGTATTCATACATTTATTTACTTTCTAATTTTCTGACTAACTACAGACTTTTAAACTGTACAATGTGAATTTCCCTTTTCATCTTAGTTGAGTTTTATCAATTTTCCTTTCATGTTTTCTTCATGGTTTAAGAATAATATCTTTCTTTAGGTTAAGATTAAAAGATCAGCTATAATTTGAATGAATAAAATCTATAAAAATGGAAATACTCTAGATGGTACATAAACTTTATTTTCTCATTTTTCAAATGAAAAACAGGAGAAATGAACAAGTATATTCTAAATTCTTTCAGTAAAGGAGAGAATACATTTATAGAACTAGCATATCCCAAAATACAAAAGGTAATTGAGAAGTTAACAAACATTAGAAATGTAGCATTTGGACCTGAGTGGACCAAAGAAATCCAAACCCTAGCTGATCAACTCTTTAATGAGGCTCTTGGGACTAGTCCCTGTACAGCAAGATGTTGTCCAACAGAGAGTCAGTGTTTATTCTGTAAAGAACTGATATTGAGTATCAAAATACCACAGAACAATCAAGTTCCAAATCCTGTATTTATATCTTTGTTTTGCTCAGGACTCAAACAGATTCCATTTAATGAGGAAAGAGAGACCTATGATTTGCCTGGTTATGCTGGGAAAAGTCTGTGGGCAAAGATTAGCTCTGTCTTTATTCATTGTATTAAAAGCAAAGTACTTAATCTACTCAATAAATCACACTTGCCAAGTATCATAATCAGATGGCAAGTTTATTGAGCCTTCCAACTTCAATCTTGAATGACTACTAGCATATGTAGCACTGGCCTTCCACCTTGACACAGGTGAAAACATTTATCAGAACTAAAGCACCAGATTTGCGTGGTAAACAATATACCACTCAGTACACTTGGGAGCAAAACAGCTATATGTTTAAATGCTATATAATAGACTAGATTCATTTTGATTACATTTTTAGGGTTATACAGATGACATTTTAAGCAGTGGAAGGCATAGATGCACTGTGGAGCAGTGACAAATTTGGTATAGAAACATTCTTTCAATTTAGTTGAGTTGATCGAATCAGGAGTATCTTTGTCCTGCTACTACTGTACCACTTAGATTTATATTGTAGAAACTAGTCACCATGGGGGATCTGATACTTTGTTTAGGTTAAGATCTATGAAATGCAGACCATTCCCTTTCTTTGCTTAGTCTGTGACTAGTTGAGTGTATTTTCCAGGACTTAAACATAGACTAACAATAGAATAGAATATTTGTATTGAAGGTCGTGTCTATAAT